ATCTTAAGGGGTCGAATTATACGTAATTAAATGAATTAATCTATGAAGAAATTTAGGCTACACAAATCTCACATGGGTTGATTTGTATGGAATTTGGGATGAAATTAATGAGCCTACAACATGAATTAAGGTCGAACCAAAATGGGCTAATTCAATTGTCATTTAGGTTGAGAGAGATTACATGCGGGTTGAGCCATGGCTTGTTACTAAGATGGGTTATTAATTCGGCAATGTGCTTCCAAATGATGCACAATCCGATTGTAGGCTTGATCTTGATGAGACTTAACCATTGGCCATTCCGATAGAACTCAATCATAAGGGCTAGGGCCAAAAAGATCTATGAGTTCTTAAAACATTTCTTAAATCATAAATTCAAGATAAGAGATTTGGGAAACTTTAAATACTTTCTTGGTATTAAATTAGCAAGAACAATGAAAAGGATTTCCATATGTCAAAAGAAAATATATCATGGTTTTGTTAGAAGAATATGGTTTTGGATGTTCTCGACCAATATCTACACCTATGGATGTGAATCATAAACTATCAAAGAGTATGAAATCATTTGACTTTTACTAGACTTGATATTGCTTATGCACAATCCGAATATGATTTTGTTGATTCTATAACTTACAAACAATTGGTCGAGAAGTCGTTATATTTGACTTTTACTAGACTTGATATTGCTTATGCAATTCTATCATAGCTCCTTAACAAACCAACAAGCAATGTGGGTCGCTTATAGAGTCTTGCGATATCTAAAAAATGCTCCACGACAAGGATTATTGTTTTCTACTAATTCACGACCAAACTCGACAAGATACTCAAATAATGACCGAGCAGGATGCCTAGATACAAAATGATCAATGATAAGTTTTTGTTTAACCTTGGAAAACTCATTGGTAAGCGGGAAATATAAGAAACAAACCTTAGTGGCTAAAAGTTCAACGAGAGGCTAAATACAAATTAATGGCCTCTATAATATGTAAAGTTGTTTGGTTGATCTCTTTATTGATAGATTTTGAACATCCAAATAAACAACTAGTTGCGCTTTATTGTGATACCATGTCCGCACTTCACAATAGCAAACATTCAATGTTCCATGAGAGAATGAAACACATAGAAATTGATTGTCATTTTGTGAGAGAAAAGGTTGTTGCATGAGTTATTAAGCTAGAGCTTTTGCCCACACATTTGCAAATTGCATATGTTTTTATAAAAAGCTTACATCCACTACAATTCAGATTGCTTCTAAGCAAGATGAACACCATCAACATCTTTGTTATTCATCTTAAGGGAGAACATAAAGAGAGAAAGAAGAAGGCTACCTACTGATATTTAATACTATTTTGATTAGTTAGTTAGCAAGAGAGTTAGTAAGTTAGTTGGTTGATTAACTAAATCATTTAATTAAATCAATTAGTTAGTTCATTATTGTGTATATATATAGATAATACTCTATAAATCATTTGGATTAAGAAAATACAATAAAAAAAAAATCATCTTCAACTTCTCCTCTCAAAAACTCAATTTTAATTTTGCTTCTAAGCTCATTTCTAATATACAGAAATATATATATATTCGGGAAAAAAATGAACAACGCGTCGCTCGAACCATGCAGTGAAGTTTGGTCCGTCTGCAACTTTTCAGCAAATTTGGGTTTTCTAGAAATATCGCAAGAATCTTTGTTAAAATTTCAATGTTCATAAAATCCTTAAAAAAAAAAAGAAAAACCACCACTGTAAACAAACTCTATTTTTCAGAAGAAACAATCTGAATGCAAGCACAGTGCAACATCTTTTGAAAACATCTGTAATCAACATCTGGCATAACTGGCGTATCAGATGATTCAAAATTGCCTGAAAATCACAAAAATAACGAAAGGGGTAATAAACAGTAAATGAACAGTAGCAGGGTCTCTCGAAATCATTGGAAAATCGTTTTGCCACGTATCATCCATAGAGTGATGAAAAGGAATGGATCATCACAACTTAACGCAGCCATCGTAGAATTTCCCTTCATTTCAATCATTACGCTCTTCTATCTCCCATCCATTCTTTCTCAGCAACCAAACAGGTTCCCTGGATAGGTTTCTTGATGGTCCTGTCATAAAGTTACTCAATAATTGTAGTATTAAGCACCTAAATCATAGGCTTCTCTAATCTCTTTATATTGGTAGCTACAAAGAAACCGCAGCTCAAGATGAATATCCACAGATGAATAACCTCTGTTTTTGTGCTACTTCGCCTACCAATTCCATCTTACATTTTTGTTACCTCACTTTTGCCTGTTAATGGGGTCCTTGGGTTTCTTTTTTCTCTCGGAAAATTATTAAAGGTAACACCTTCTCACATTTTTTTTTTTTTTTACATTTCCCATGTCTGTAATGAGTGGGAGGTTGTTTACACTTTACATTGCCAACTTGTCTGTCAATTTTATGTTGTCGTTAATGATGCTCAAAAGCTAACCTTAATTTGCTGGATTGAAAAACTTCGTTCTTGATAATGAAGGGTTAAGTTATTCTCATTTGCTGGATGATATTCTCATATATATAAATTGAATGGTAAGCTATCTTTTTATGGGATTTTAGTTTGCACTTGTATCGTAGGCTGCTGTAGGTTCTGGTAGTGCAGTCTTGAGCTAGAGTGCATAAATCAAGAGTTCTTAAACTCGCAGCAACCAAGTGAATGATTGGCTGCTTGCTGTGATCGCATCTTACAGCTCTATGTCCCGTTAGTTCACTTGAAATTTGTGAAGTCGATTCAGCTTTTTGAGCTCTGACTTCTAAGCATAACCATGGTCAGTTGTAACAACTGTGTTGCATTTACAAAGTTATGATTTGTGTGCAAATCTAAGAATTATGACATTAAGATTCTTTTCGGTGGTTAGGAAACATGTAATTGATTGACTGGAATGGAAAACCTCACAGTTTTGAAGGAGAGGTACATGTTAGTTCTGGGTTTTATTTGCACTTGTATCGTAGGCCTCTCTAGTTCTGTTAGTGTGGCCTTGAGCTAGGGTGCAGATATCAAGAGCTGTTTAAACAGCGGCGGCAAGACAACTGCTGAGATGAATCCACAGGCGAATGGCTCAAAATGCTGTTTGCCTACTAATTCCATCTCACATCGTTACTTAGCATTCCCTTTCAAAATGACCTCATACCTTACAATCTTACTGAGCTTCACTTTCAAATAAGCTTGCACAAGCAAAGAAGGTGGCTTTTCTTTTCTTTTCTTTTCTTTTTTTGTTCTTTTCCTTTATGATTGTGTATTTGCACTGAACTACGTTTTAGTAGCATGGAGTGAAAAGGGAAAGCAAGAAACTGATACAGAAAATGGAAAAACTTTGCTTTCAGTTTATTATTATGCAACATCTATGGATAAGCAATTATTTCATTAAGTAGAACAGTTCAATTTGGCATTCGTTGATCGGTTTTATTCTAGTCTACTCTGTACTGTTTTGCTGTAGGTCTCTCGCAATGTGATAATGACATGGTCTCTTTGGATTCTAGTCTATTTTCTGTTGGTTTAAGCCTCTTTGATTTGTAATAATATTGCCTAATAGACTCTAGGAATAGTTTGTCCGTCACTGTCTAGTGAGTACAGGTAGATTTTTGTACATATCCTGTAATTATACATGCAAATATATGTATGATGGACATTTTCAAGTAAACACCAACAAAAATATGCTGTCTTGGATGTTAGCATAATTGATGGCAGGCCTATCACAGCTTGACAATCTACTATTGCTGAATTTTAATGAATATATAGTGCTTGCATTGCTTAGTGATTAATTTCGTAGGCTGAGTCTAGAATGTCAGCATTAGTAAAATGCTGACACCCGTTAGACCATTGAATTTGAATAAAATAATAAAAGCATTCATTAAATTCATATCTAATAATCTAACTGGCATCAACAGTTTACTGATGCCAACATTGTAGTCACCCTTTATTTTTTATTCTTGATATGATGGATCCAGTATAAATAGTTCATTTCGACTGCAGTATGCTTGTTTGAATATAATGAATTGTAGATCACTGGAACTTAAGAGGTCTAGATATTTTTGATGATGGAGAAGATAGCAATGCAGCAAAGCTTGATCCGATGAGGGAATATACAGGAGGATGAAGGATTTGGTAATGGGAATTTGGCAGAGATTGTCTTGGAATTGGAGTAATCAATGGGAGAATATGATAATGGACAGAGATTCTAGACTTTTCTGTCTTTATTATTGATTGTTTTGTTACTTGTGTATATTGTTAATTCGTTATTTGGGTATCTAATAGTTGAAAAGACATTCATGTTTAAAGAAGACTGGATTCTAGTTACTTCCAGCCAGTAGTTCTTTTTTGCAAGACTGTTTTAGATTGGTTTGTTGTGTACTTGCGTCAAGCAATTAAAAATGAAATGATAACTATGATGTCAAAAATGTTGGACATTTTAGGCTGTATTTAAATATCTTGCAAATTTCACTCATCATCCTAATTCTAATAAGTGTATTTCAAGGAACATTTATGGAGCTCTGTTTAGAGTTTACTGCTCATAGCTATGCATGGTTTACTCTGAGCCGAAATTAAATGAAGAGGAACGTGAGAGTTATATAATTTTACTAACAATTCGTAACCATCAAATAAGTTATGCAATTTGATTTGCATTATAACGTCAAAAATAATCATGTCAGACTTAGCTGCTGCCATTAGACATGATCGGTTGCTTTTATCGAAGACCATATATGATGCGAAAGATACATAAACGTCAATTGCCGGAATCATGCAAAATCCCTAGCAAGTGGCAACTTTGTTTTGACTTTCGATACAGGAAAAAGATGTATGTATGATAGCTATACACAAAATTCTCCGGGAAAGTAAGATAACTGGTAAATAAATCAGAGTCGCGCACACCTATCCAAGTGCAGAAGAAATTTCTTTTCAAGTCATACAAATGAATACCTTAAAGCTGGGATGCTTGGTTAAAAGGTTAGCCCACCATTTTCTATGCTATTCTTACACGTTTTCTTCTTCCTGAGTGTCATCTGCACTCAGAAGATGATTGAGTGCTACTCTTGCTCTTTTCGGTTCTGATGAGGTTTCCTTGGTATCATCTTCTTCGCCCTTCCTCTTAGCACTTCCATTCTCCTGTTTTTCATGCTCCCCAGCAGTAGCTTCACCCCCAGAATTCTCTGATTTATCCTGCCCTGAAGTCTTTGGTTCAGATACTCCAGCTTTGTCTTTTCCATTCAAGGTTCCTCTCGTAAGTGTCTTTTCGCTTTCTTCCAGAAACATGCGGATTTCTTCATTGGTTGCGAGATCAAGAGGGGTCATTCCTGCTTTTGTCTTGACAGTAAGGCCAGCTCCTTTCTTTACCAAATACTTGACTAGCTCCAGATGGGATCCTTGAACAGCAAAGTGAAGTGGAGTAAGGCCCTTTCTGGTGGAAGCTTTGATGGAGGCCCCTGATGAAAGCAAAGTTCGGAGAACTTCTAAATGGCCGTTTTGGGCAGCAAAGTGAATTGCACCCATTTCATCCATTGCAGCAGCACCAACATCAGCCTTGTGCTTGCAGAGATAGCTCACCACCTCTGCCTGCCCTGACCATGCTGCCAAATGCAATCTATGAAACGAGGGTACTGTGTCAAGGAAGCAAAATTTTAAATCCTGCAATATCAGTATCTTTTCAAATTCTCATCAGAAATTAGCATTAAACACCAGAGCCAGCAATTTCATGAGGAAAAAAAAAACCCAAAGAGAGAGAAGAACAAATGAAACTAAAGATGAAAACTGCACATATAATGTCTGATATGGTTATTTTCTTAGTTCATTTCACAAAACAAGTTCTCGATTAGATACGGCATTAGAAAGCATCTTTATTTGTTCAGAAAGCTCGAATTCTTAACCTCAAAAAGCCTTCCTTGAACTATAAACATGTCCTCGATTAGATAGGGCATTAGCAAGCATCTTTATTTGTTCAAAAAGCTCGAATTCTTAACCTCAAAAAGCCTTTCCTTGAACTATAAATTTCAAATATGTCAATAACACAAACAAGCTAGCAGACGGATGTAGAGCACACATTGGACTTGTCTCCAGTCAATCCTTCTACTTTACTTCCAGAATTTTCTAGTCTGTAAGTACGTCGTATCTACTTATTCCTCATGCTGATATCTACATAGAAATTTAAACAGACAGCAAAAGAAAACAACTACATAGAAATCAAGCCTGCGAAAAAAGAAAGAAAAATTCATGAACTCTCCGAGTTCTTTCTGAGGATAATTGGACAGCACAAAAGATTGTTCCATTCATATCTATTGTCTCAGTAACATGCAATTAGCTACACTTCCAGCTAAATTGACTGTCTCTAAAAGGGCATGAAAAATTCAAAGTAATGAACTTTACTTTCAAACTCATTGCCAAATAACCCAAAAGACTTGCCTTGTCCCTTCAGAAGGCCTATGCTTTACACTAAATCATACACTGGCTATCTCGACATGTAATTAATTCAGAGACAATTGCTGAAAGAAAATGTTCACCTTTCCTCTGATTGATAATCTACTATTCAACTAAAATGAACAAAAATCAACAAATTCTTTTCCACTCTGCACCTAACTAGGACAACGAAGTGTTTTTTTTTTTTTTTTTTGAGAAGAGTACAATGAAATATGAATATTAAAGACAATCATGTTTTATAAAAGAGTACAAAACAACAGATTGGAATTATCATAACTTGCAAAACACAACAAAAACCAACAATTTTTTTGTCCACTCTGCACCTAGCTAGTAAAACGAAAGAATTTTCTTTTTCTTTCTTTTTTTTTTTCAAAGAAGAGTACAATGAAATATGAATATTAAAGAAAACCATGTTTTATAAAAGTGTAACCAATCAAAAAATCCAAAGTAAACGGAATCTAAAGCTAACAAAATGTTGAATATGCGAACTAACTGAATCATACGAAGCCCAAAATCGTAGAAAATTTTGATTAAATTACTGAATCAGAGATTGAAAAAATAAAGAAAGAAAAGGGAGGAGGATACGGAGTTCTAGAGTGCTTATCTCTAGAGTTAACAGCCAAAGGGTTTGAGCTGAGAATTGTCTCCACCACTTTCATGTCACCAGACCTCGCCGCCGTGTGAAGCTCTGTGTCTCCTCCTCCTCCTCCTCCTCCTCCTCTACCTCTGCCCATTCTTACCCTCTAATTCTTGTTGCAGAAAACGCCTACTTTTCTTTTTCTCTGCAAACGCAGTTGCTGTATTTTTGCTGTGGCCGTGATGCGTATTTGCATTAGTAGACTACATGCTTCATAGATATTCATTTGTTGGGTCCGGCTCTCATTGGGCTGAAGTACCTGTATTCGGGTTTCGTTTTGTCTTGGACCTAAATTTCATTTTTACTGCAATTTGGGCCTAGCCTTTTTTTCTTTCTTCTTCTTTTTTTTTTTTCTTTCTTTCTTTTTATGCTTTACGCTATTAAATGAGTTTGAGCTAGTTGAAACTTAGTCTTTCTATTTGTTGCAACTAATTTTGTGTGTATATATATATATATCCTTTATCCATCTCAATTTAGTAGTTTTTTATTCCATAAATGCGTTCTTTTCTCTTAATAAAAAATTTCCATCTTATTTTATTATTATTATTTTTTTTTGAAAACAAAAATAAAATAAAATAAATGACAAAAGGACTAAATTATCATTGGACTTTAACAAACAAATAGATAATTTTTAAATCTACAAGGATTAATTGATTATTTCATTAGATTATGACGATTAAGCTACGATTAGCTCGATGTGTTTTCAAAGGCATAAAAAACTTGAATCTTACTCGGGTTGTCGATTACTAATCTAACCCTAAGTTAGAATTTCGTAATTCCTACAATGCAAGCCTTACAACCAGATGATACTAGAAAAAAATGATAAAAGATGAAGATGAAGAACGTAGAGAGAAAAGAGATAGAGAGATAGAAAATTTGTTATAATTATATATTCTTCTTAGTACTTATATATATATATATATATATATCACCGATTTGTTATATTCCTTCTCTTATTATTGACCTAAAAACATAAACACAGACTTAACCTTAAGTCCAACCCCTTGCTACTACTTCTTAATCCATATAGCTACCGACTTAGCTCATACTCTATAAACCGAATGCCGCAACCCATTACTAACTAAACACATTGGATTCCTAAACCCATTCATAACCTAATTGAGAGAAATTCCCAATTCCATTCAAGCACGCACACTTCTTCCACTCTTAATTCTCTATATTAGTCATCATCTTCTTCTAAGATTGTTTTTTCGTATCAACTACCTCCTCCTCTAAAATTCCCTTGTCTCGAGGGTGAAGGATGGAAAATGATGAGTAATTTCTTTAGCAAACTCCCATGTTGCCTCCGTAAAGGAAATATCCTTCTAGTGGATCAACCACTAGACAATTGCTTGGTTGCGTTTTTTGGTGATACGTCTATCAATGATGGTTAATAGGTAAGGAGAGGAACTAGATGAAAGGTCAAGCAAATCCTTCGTATAAGTTCCAATAGCCCTCTTAAGAAGGGAGACATGAAAGATCGAGTGAATTGAAGCTATTACGGGAAGCTTTAAATGATAAGCTACCAAACCCACTCTATCTTCAACCATATAGGGACCATAGTAGCGGGCAAAGAGCTTATGGAACTTATTCTTGGTCATTAAGTGTTGTTTGTAGGGATATAACTTTAGATAAACCCGGTCGCCAATTATAAATTAGCATTTAGTTTTATGTTTGTTTCCTAGTTTTCACATATAGTTCCGTTCGCGAGCAAGGTTTTGTTTGAGATGGGATAGCAAGGCTTCTCCGGTATTGAGATATTGGTCTACAACCTCTATAGGGGAATCCTAGGAGATGTAGGGAAAACAGATTGAAGGTGGATACCCATAGAGTGCCTCAAATGGTGTCATCTTGGTAGTGGAATGAAAATTTATGTTATACCACCATTCGATAAGAGGGAGCCACTTCGACCAATTTGAGGGAGTGTCTCTTACCATACATCAAAGATAAGTTTCTAGGCAATGGCTTACCACTTCGTCCGACCATCCGACCGAGGATGGTAAGCGAGTGGAGTAGTAAAGATCCATCCCTTGTAGATAGAATAGTTCCTTCCAAAAAGTGCTCAAAAATACCGCATCTCTATCCCCGATAATTATGGATGGTAAACCATGTAACTTGAAAACTCGTATCTAGGAATAATTGAGCTACCAATTTGGCAATATAGGGATGAGGAAGGCTTATGAAGTGGGCATACTTAGTGAGGTGATCTACTACCATAAATATGACTTCGTTTCCCTTGGATTTAGGAAGTCTCTTAATGAAGTCCATAGAGATATCGGTGAATGCTCCTTGTGGTATGGGAACAGGTATGGGAATAGGTTATAGTAATCCAAGCATAGCCACTAACTCTAGCTAGTAGGATTGATAGGTGGGACACTATCCGATGTGCTATCTTACATCCTTTTGTAAACCCTTCGAGTGGAAAACACCACCTAACTTCTTATAAGTGGTTGCCATACCCAAGCTTCCTCCTAAGGCGGAATCATGAAACATACTTACATTTGTCTCCTTAGTTTATTATATCATTACCCATAACTAATTAACATCTTTTAGTTAAAAGTGTATCATGCCATTTGTATAAAGGGTGTGCTACTCGAATTACGGGTCATTTCGATAAGATTTATTAGATGAAAGGGTTAATTACCTAAGAATCCCTTATTTGCTAAAGTAAGTTAAAAGACAAAGTAGAAATAGCTATAGAATAAATTTCTTAGCTAGGTAGTTTGAAGAGTGCATCGACAACCATGTTTTCCTTCCCCTTTTTGTATAGGATCTCATAATCAAAACCTAATAGCTTAGCTGACCATATATGCTCGATTGGATGTAGCCAATTTTTGTTCTAAGAGATATTTGAGGATGTGTTGGTCTATCTTGATCTTAAAATGATATGACTATAAATAATGCCTCAATTAGTTTACGACTTGTATGATCTGTCGGTAACTCCTTCTATAGGTAGATAGAGACCGATACCTAGGTGAGAAAGCCTCGTTGAAGAAAGTAATTAGGTGTCCTTGTTGCATCAAAACAACACCAATCTCGGTGATAAATGAGGGATCATGTATCCTATGAAGGTGCGGAATAAAATAAAAATTTTTTCTCCATCTAAGACTCCCAAAATCTAGCCATTGAATTAACTAATCATACATATATGAAGTAATCAATAAGTAAAGGATTACCTTTTGTAGCATAGAATTTAACCTTTATAAAAAAAAAGGAGTTATCCAAGTATTTGACTCGTATTGATAATCCATGCAGTCCAAGCACCCATACAAGAAGCACTAAGAAATAATAGAGTGCTAGCTCTACCTTTTTCTTTGTTTAGTGTTTTCTCTTTAGAAATCTATTCGATAATATATTACGATAACCCTAGGAGAGAGGAAGAGAGGTGGCAAGTGTATGGGAGGGAGAAAATTATTTTCTCTTTTTTTTCTTTTATCGTGTATACCTAGCCTTCACTCACCTCTTTGCCACAACTCCCCTTGTATTTATAGAGAAAATGTCTTTTTTTATCCTCCAAGGACAAGGAAGTGGTGGCATTGAGTCCTAAAATGGACTCTAGGTTGTTACTTCTCGGTCCTCTAAGGATTAAGAGTTATTATGCATGTGAGCTTTTTGATTTTATCTTTTAAACCTTCATCTTTATCAAATAAGGTTCAAGTTTATCCTCCGATCAAAAATTCTTATAGACTTTTTGATTAAATCTATTATCCCAAACTCTTTTTATCCCAGTTAATTACTAATTAACTTGGACTATTTAAATAAATTAGGTTAGATATTTTTAGGAAGCCCAATTTAGGAAATAATTTTCTAAATTACCTTTAAACCTAAATTAGAAAACTAATTTCCTTTTTAGGTAACTTATTTCTAAATTTGGAATTGATTTCCAAATTAAGAAACTAATTTCTAAATATGAAACTTTCATTTTAAAAAACTTCTATTTTAGGAAATTTTCTTTGAGGAAACTTTCTATTTTTGAAAACCTTTTCCAAAATAGGAAACTTTCAAAATTGAAAACTTTTTCCTATGTCTTTACTTCTCTTTTATTATGTGAATGCTTAAACTTATGATTGTGACTCAATAGGCTCTTAGATATATTGACAATGTACCAAGAATAAAAAAACATCTTTTTTATTTCTTGGTGCATAAATCAAGATTGGCCTCTAACAAGGCATCATGACTACCCAATTCTTTAGAAGGATTAATTAATCTATGATTACCTTTTATGAACATGGTTACCATACAATTCAGTTCTCATATCAATTTATCACGAGTGTGATCTCAAATTTGATTATTAGTCTATTCCATATGATCACACAAGTTTTTTTCAATTCTTAACTATCTTAGCTCTTAGAATAAACCAACTATGCTTTAGCTATAGATTTCTTAAGTAGACATTTATCGAAGTGTAATGTGATAACTCTTTTAATATATAAGGAATGACATATCTTATCTTAGTCATCTACATGTCTCCATTAGATTTCTATTATACCCAATGAATTGCCCACATGCAACTTTTTACCGGGTCCATCGAAACGAGTGTCAAAGTACATAAATCCTCTAATGTAATAACCATAATGACTTCAAGTCAAAAGACTAGTTATATCTATCTCGAATAAGATCTCATAAACTAAACCAAATGGGTTCTCATAAAAAGTTAAGTTCGGTGATATGTTCTCTAACATTAATCACCTAAGTGCTTGCTTTAGCATTACCATGTCAATAGGTATGAGATCTCCTACCGCAATCTTATAACATAAGCATAGCAAAAGTCTAACCATATGTAGTCAATATCCATTCTTGACAATGCTATGACTTAGGACATTTAATGATATCATTTATATAAATTAATGTTTGTCTTATATTTTTGTATCAATCATTAATACAATGCATATCATATGAACTTCTATCTAATTTTAATAAATAAATATAAATAATAAGAATTAATAGAAAAACTTCTTTTATTGATAAAATAAATAATACAATATTATAATAAGTCAAACATCTCTAAATATGGTTGGATATTGAGTACCTATACTAACAATCTCTCACTTATACTAGAGCTAACCAACCATGTCCCTTATTCTCGATGATTGAATA